AATACCACAGCGTTAGCTGAACACCATTTTAAAACAGGACATATTTTTAAATTTGACGCAGCAACTATCCTAGATTTAGAGGAAAACTGGTACAAAAGAAACATTAGCGAAACGTAGAACATATGTAATACTAATACGGTAAATTATAGAACAGACACAAATAACTTAAATCACATCTACAACGGAATTTGTAAATTTTAAACATAATAAATAATAAAGGACACCTTACACTGATGATATAGGCTAACAAACACTAGTCTAGATTGAAACACTTTTGTTGAGGCTTTTAAATAATAACGATCAAACTAACGAAGTTTAGATGTATTGTGTTTGGAATATTATAAAAAGAAATGTATGTCGAAATAAATAAAAAAGACGCTGAGCTTTAATGATTAAGGTAATATGTAAAAAATTATATTGTATAAACCGCATGTATCGTAATAAGAAATGTATAAGAAAATAAATTTTCCAGTTGCTGAAGAAGTCCCAATAAAGTGACGAAACGTCTAACTTAATTAAATTAAGTTCTACTTCTTTTCATGTCCAAGTTCCCTATGAACCTACATCATTAAAAAATTATAATTTTGGACGAAAGAAAATACTGAAACATTCTAAATGTTAATATAATAAAGATTTTTATCTTATCCAAAAATTTTTAATATTATTACTAAGTTTAATTCTTAGGGATGTTATTTTTTGGACAGGTTTAAATTAGATGAACAATATATTTATCCGTTGAACGTTTCGTCTCTATTTGAGACTTCCTCAGCAACTAAAATTTTTTATTATGACATATTATTGCTTATACAAATACAAAAAAAACATACAATTAATAGCGTTGTTTTACCTTAATAGTAATGTTCATAAGTCAATATATCATTTTTATTACAGTCAAAAGTTTTCACTATCTTATATATAGAGTCAATTTTTAAAACGTTATCCTACCATAACTTTTCGAACACTATTGGTTACCTCTAAGCTGGTGTTTCCTAATCTAGATGTCTTTGTTATTATTGTAACCTCTGTTCCGTGTCT